TTTAATCCATTCATCTATTGGTGGAAATTTGGGCTGTTTCCAATTCTTTGCGATTGTGAACTGTGCCGCTATGAATATTGGAACACAGATGTCTGGTCATGGTCTACTTCTTACCCTTTCTGGGGATATACCCAGTAGGGGGATTGCTGGATAGTAAGGTAACCCAATTTTCATTTGCTTTAGGTATCATCAAATCACTTTCCACAGCAGCTGTATGTATCTAAAAGACCACCAGCAGTGGATGGGAGTTCCCATCTCACCACACTCCCTCCAACATTTGTTGCTTTCTGATTTTTTTGAATTGGGCTATTTTTTTTTTAATTAATCATTTTATTAGGGGCTCATACAACTCATCACAATCTGTACATATGTCATCTGTGTCCAGCACTTTAGTACATATGTTGACTTCATCATTCTTACAACATCCACTTTATCTTTGAGGGTGTTAGTATCTGATAGTTGGTTTAATTTGCATTTCCCAGATGGATAATGATCAGGAACATTTTCTCATATGTTTATTGGTCATTTGTGTTTCCCCACTTGTAAATCTTCTGCTCAGGTCTTTTTCCCACCTCCTCAGTGGGAAATTCATTTGTTTCTTATTATAAGTTTGCAGAGTTTCGTAGATTTTAGCAATAAGCCCTTTGTCTGATATGTCATTGCTAAGTATCTTTTCCCAGTCTCTGAATTCTCTTATTACTGTCTTGATGAAGTCTTTCAATGGACACAGGTGTGTTATCTTTAGCATGTCCCACTTGTCAGTTTCAGCTTCCTCTGTGTGTATCATTCCCTATTTCTGATAGCCCATACATCCCCTGTAGCAAAAATTGCCCGTTTTCTCATTGATGATCCTAATAGTTTGGGATTTTACCTCGAGGTCTATGACCCACCTTGAATTTTTTTTCTTGTGTATGGAGTGAGGTAAGGGTCTTGCTTCATTTTTCTTTCTTTCTTTTTAAAATCATTTGGGGGGGACTCTTACAGCTCTCATCACAATCCATGCATTTATTAGATCTTCTAATTTTCCTAGATTAATATTTTAAACACTTCAGATTTCAATTATTAATTGATATTTGGAGCTGCTTCTCATTGAGTCATGCTCCATCAGCCAACGGACTTGAAAGCTTTACTCCGGCAAATTTTATTCTATGCTCTTATGGGCAATTCTACTTTGAGTAGGCAGCTCTTCTTCAGTCATCCTTAGAGTTCCTGTGGACCCAAGGGGCTCATCTTCTGGCACAATCTTTGGCATTGTTTTGCTTCTTTTCATGAGATTTTCAGTATCTAACAATGTTTTTACTCTGTTCTTAAGGTTTGGTGGAGGTGGGGGGTGATAATTCCTCTGAAATGTACAGCCTATTCCTGCTCTGCTGAAACCTGTTCACCATGATTGACCCGATTTCCATTTGAAATACTAGTGATATAGCTTCCAGAATCAAAGTAACTGACAAGTGGCAGAGGAGCTATTGGAGATATGAAAATCAAGCAACAATAAAATATCCTTTCACCCCACCATTAATAGCAAAGTTTTTAAGTAAAAGAAAACTACTACTTACAAATGTGTAGAAAGATTAGTTCCTTCAACTAATGCTGGTGTGTTTCTAAAATGGTAGTACTACAGAAGTAAATTCTATATTTCCTTAAAAAGTTGGGAGTAGAAATACCATATACCTAGCAATCTCTCTAAAACAAAGAGAAACATTTGGAGTTGCTTGAAGTTCAAAGACAACAGAGGTCAATACTACTACATGCACCTGTCTGCAATGACACCAATAATCTATGAGTAGATATGTAGGTAAAACTGGTGTAATAATGTGAAAAGGAGTATATAAAAAGTATATGTATGTATGGCAGAGGACATTTCTACATATGTACTTTTATGCCTCCGAAGTACAAGGAGGCTTCAGAAAACTCATGGAAAAATAGAATGTAAAATTATTGAAACATTTCTATAAACTCTTTGAAGCTCCTTCATATATATCCATGAATATAAAGAATATGCAGGGGGCAAAGTTTAGGAAACATCTTAGCCATTATCCAACTCCTTGACTGAATGAAGTTTGGGGGGCATTGAGCCAGATTCTCAAAGGACAGCAAGGTCAATTGACATAATGTAGACTGCAAAAACAACATTCAAAATTGTACTTTGACAAATAGTAACCAGTGTCTTAAACCTTTATGAGTGATTAGCCACCTGTGATGGGTCTCTCTCCCTGTCTGGTGCAAAGAAGAGTGAAGAAAATTACAAACTCAAGGAAATAATTGTTCCAAAGGAACAATGGACAACATAAATAAAAGCTTCCACTACCCTGAGGTCAAAGTAACTAAATGATACCCAGCTATCATTAATGACCACTCTGATCAGACTCACAATAAGAGGTACTGGACAGAATAAGTGGAAAATATAGAACAATTCAAAATCATAAAATACCTTACTTATTGGAAAACTCCTAAGACTGTGGCCCTTAGACATCAAACCTAACACTGAAAACCAGCTTCTTCGGGGGATTCACTGTTAGCCAAATAATACCCACTTCTATCAAGTTGATTCCAACCCATAGTGATCCCAATATACAGTTTTCTAGATTATAAATCATGTGGGAACAGACAGACTCATCATTCTCCCATGCAGCACCTAGTGAGACTGCTCCACCAATCTTGTGATCACCAGGCTCAGGCTTAGCCCACAGTGTCACCCAGGTTCCTGTATAGGCCTATGTAGTAAACAATAACACCACAGAGAAACATACTACTCAGAACATTAAACCATAAAAAATGAAAAGGGCAGCATATTCTCAAAAAGGAGACTCAGAAGGTGGGAAAGAACAAGAAAAAAGATGAATAGAAATGGAGAACAAAGGGAGGAAATGGGAAGAGTATTGTTCTATTGTGAAGATTGCAACCAATGTCATGAAACAAAATTCGTATAAAATGTTGAATGTGAAAATAATTTGCTTTGTATATGTTCACCAAAAACCACCACAACAAGAACCACTTAAAACTCAAAACTGTTTAATTCACAATGCACATATAAAAATGTCTCCAGGTGATCTTGAAATAAATAGCCATATTGATGGGGAAACAGGGCACTTATACACCCATGGGGAGGGTACTGTTCATGTCTCCACAGGAAAGGGAGAGAGGGACCAGATCCCACCCCAGAGCACTAAGCCTTGCAGACAACATACCAGCATGAGCTATGTTGACCACCTCCTCAGAAAAAAGCAATACAGAGGGCAGCACTGAAGATATAGCCCAGGAAGAGTGACGGGTCTGTCCAGACCACAAAGGTGCAAACTAATAGGGAAAGATAGATAGAAAGAAAGTGGGCCTCATCATGGCCCACCACACCCAGGGACAACATCCCTGTTCAGAGCAGCCAATGTACAGAGGAGACCATAGGGCCGGCCCCACCATGAGACCTGACATTCCCTCACTGACCCATAGCACTATGGAGACACTGTGCAGAAGGTGTGCCTCGTCTGCCCCACACACAGCAGGGAGAAACACAAAGGGAGTGCGACAGGACAGCCAGCATAGAAAAGTAACCAAATCCCCATGGGATCCTGAAAATAGACTTCTGACTGGGGGACAGGGGTGTGGGACCTCATCAGACCCGATTAAAAAGCTCTCATAAGAGTCAGCAGACAGACTTGGCACTATCTATCATTTTTTGGTTTTGTTTTGTTTTGTTCTTTTTTTTCCCCCATTTGCTCTATGTCTATCTATATAAGATAGGCAGAACAAACAATCCTGTGGAGAAAACAACGGGACCTAAGGCCAACAAGGAAGGAGTGGGGAGGTTGAGCAGGAATACAACAAACTCAGGGAAAAGGGAATAACAAGAAGTCTAAAATTGATGGCAAATAGGGTGTATAATGCCTGGTGGGGTTTGATCAAGTGCAATGAATCTGAGAGGACATTACTGAGAGGTGAGCATGTTAGTGGGGCAGAAGGAAGGTGAATGGAAATAGAGGAAAGAAGTAGGAAGCAAAAGCTATTTATGGAAGTATAGCTATAGGCTTGCATATATGGAAATAAATTAATTTATAATGAAATTATGAGTTGTTGACGGGATCAGGCATCAGGTATCAAAAGATCTCAAACAAACAATTATATCAGTGTGAAAGAGGGGGGTTGGAGTGGAGTGGAGACCCCACAGAATGGTTACAAGGAAGGGATGATTCAGCCAGGATGCAGGATAGCACTGACGAAACACACAGTATTCCTCTAGCTCATGAATGCTTTCTCCCCCCACTACTATGACCCAGTTCTACCTTACAAATCTGGCTAGACCAGAGTACACCCATCGGTACGGATAAGAGCTCTCGACACATGGAATTCAGGACAGAGAAATCCCTCAGGAACAGTAGTGAGAGTAGCGATATCATGAGGGTAGGGAGATGGTTGGGGCAAGGGCAAAGGGGAGAGAGGGGGAACCCAACACAAGGTTGGATATATATCCCTCCCCCACAAGGGACGAATACCAGAAATGCGGGTGAAGGGCGACAACAGACAGTGTACGATACAAAATAACAATAATAATGTATAATTGATCAAGGATTCACGAGGGTATGAGGGTGACGGAAGGAAGGGAAAAGGGAGGAGCTGATAACAAGGGCTCAAGTAGAAAGAAAATGTTTGGGAAATGTTGATATCCATATATATACAACGGTGCTTAATACAATTGAATTGTTTTAAGATTGTAAGAACCACACAATAAAATGATTAATAAAAAAATATAAGAAAAAGAAATGGATAGCCATAGGAGAAAAGTAATGTCCAACCTAGGACTGTCCCTAAGGTGTACCACTGGAGAGGGGTTTCCCAGCAAACTCGAGTCTGGTTTCTCAGTATGTCTCCAGAAACTCCAAACTAGCTGAATACATTCCAATAATTCCTCGATAAGATGGCCACAGAATTTTGGTTGACAGGCTGAGGTCTTGAAATACTGACTGTGATGGGCAGCTTAACCTCGTGGCGGGTTGTGTTTTCCTAAGGAACTACCACTGCTGGAACGAGGCCTGGATGACACGGCCGGACCTTCCTGTTGGATTTGGTGGTTGGCAAGTTGTGGACAGCACCCCCCAGGAGAATAGCGATGGTAAGCCTACCGCCTCCCTTGGGAAAATTGCTTCCCTGCTGATTACGATGTTGCCTTTATGGTGGTATTTGACACGTGGAAAACACTCCTGTGGCACGTCAACATCAGAAGTGTGCTTTCAGGGTACACAAACAGTATGCGATACCTGCCAGTCAACTTTAATTTCTTTCCAATGGTCAGCTTCATTCTGATTATTTTATAACTTTTGGAATGTAAGACTTAACATATTTAATTCATCTACCCTTGCTTTGATAAGTAGTTGTGAAGACAAGAGAAAAAAATGCCTATGCAACTATTTTAACTATCCTATAAAGTACTTTAGCCCTTCCAGATATACAGCGATAATTTATAAGGGAATAGGAAAAATCAGGAACTCAAAAAATAGTTGCAGATTGTTTCTTAAACTCAGCTTCCCCGGAATCCGCTTTATTTCAAAATTTGAGCGTGTGGGTGTCTGCCAACTTGCCAACTGAAGGAAGCAGTAGCAGCTCTCCCAGGTTTGTATAAAATCAGATCATAGGCTTCCATTTCTGATTGATATGATGAAAACATCTGTGTGCTGGGGACATCATTATATTGATGGCGTCAAGTATTGATGTAATTTATCGATGTGGCTGCAGAGACATACAAAAGCATAAACCAATTACTACTGACTTGATTCTGACTCTTGGAGTCCCCATGGGCATCCGCACAGAGCTGTGCTCCATCGAGTTTGCAATGGCTGATGTTCTAAGGTAGAGAGCCACACCTTTCCTCTAAGGTGCTTCTGGGTGGACGCAAACCTCCAATCTTTCAGTTAGCAGCCAAGCATGTTAACCCTAGGCATACTCAGATATCACTAAAAGGCATAAACATGCAATACATACTCTTAATGGAACCTTATTATAATACTGGGTTTTAGGAGAGAAATTTCAATACTGCTGGCATTCTGGATTATAACTTATCTGGTCATAGAAATGACAAATAATAGCTAATGTCTTATCAAGTAAAGATAAAGTCTGAAGAAGGTTAGGAAAGTTAACATGTAGCTGCTGACTTTCTGCTTCTAGGTTGGGCATTGGTCAATGTGTGGTTAATGCCATTCTCCAGGGAAATTTGACCTCAGCTGGGGCTAGAATGAACCACGATCACCAAAGATAAAAGACAAAAATAAGCATAAACATACAACCATAATATTACTGAGGATGCATCAACACTTCCCATGTTTTAGACACTTACTGAACATATGAGATAAGCACTACGTAAGACAACAGCCGGGCAAAAATACACCTGGGTGTCTGTTTGTTGGGGACTGAAAAGGTGCAGACGATATTACCCTTTATATTTTTTTAATATGGTTTCACATTTTAGTTTGAGGAAGCATTTCCAACCAAACTCTCTTAAAAGAACCTTTCCAGCCTTCTGCCCTCTCCAGTCCTGGGGAGCATGTGGGCTAAGTCATTGATGAAGTTGTGCAAAGTTAGTCTCTGAAGAGTCATCCCTAAGTCCTATGAACTGAACCAGGTCCAACATAACTGGATACTGCCAAGTCATGCCCTTCCCCCTCTGTTGTGTCGTAGGGATGTACCGGTGCGGCCCTGCCTCTGTGCAAGCCATCAAGCATGGCCATGTTTGCTTCCAGTTTGATGCGCCCTTTGTTTTCGCCGAGGTGAGTGAAAAGCAGGAGGAACATACTGTTCTCCTCTGCAATCCCAACCCGTGAAAGACGCTGCTGCTAAATTTCCCAGGTACATGGTGTATGCTCCTTGTTTACAAAGTTCACTAACTAGGCATCATTCCAATCACCAGGCTCTTCATTGCTAAGTGCACTTCCCATTTGCTGTTTTTTCACACAAAAGCAATGATTTCCTAACCTTCACACAGTTCTCTCCATAACATATCAAATGCCCTAAGCAATAGGTGATTAAATTAATCATTTGACTCAGTTAATGGAGAGCATCAGGAATTGGAATGTCCGTCTATACCAGTTCACCCTGGGACTAATCCAGTCATCCGTGGGTTACAACCCCCAGCACACTCACCGTGATCTTGGACGGGGAACTGCCATGTACTTCCTGCCATCACTAGAAGGGCAGCGCAGGCCTGCCAGAGCAAAGGGGAAAGGGGAAGGAATAAGTCTGAAATTATGGAAGAACTAAATATGGAGGCTCAAAGGAGAGAACTCAGAATCACTGCCAGAGTCCACTCCAAATCTCTGGGATCCTGTAAGACAACGTAGAAAAGCTGTGGTGGGTTTCCGAGGCTGTAAACCTTCACAGGAGTAGAAATCTCCCTCTTTCACCTGGGGAGTAGCTGGTGATTTGGGTTTTGAAACCACCAGCTGGACAAAGAGGGGAAAATTAAAAATACTCCAAGGAGAGTTCTGACAATCCAATGAAATGGAAATGGTATCAGGTAAAGAAGCAGGCTGAGAGGTTTGAGCAGTATGCGGTAGGGGGGCAGGGGTGTGTGTGTATAGGAAACGTTGAGGCACAGGACTTACCCAACTATAGTTGGACAACCAAACACACTGAAATTACACCTGCCATGCACTAAGCTCATACTGTGTAATCACATCAATGACTATTCACTCCCTGACATTGAGTCCATGCTGACTCATTGCAACCCCCTTTGGGGGTCCGAGACTGTAACTGCTTACAGGAGTAGAAACCCAAGCCTTTCTCCCTCAGAGATGCTGGCGGTTTTGAACTGCCTGCCATACAGGGCTCCATTTAAAATGGATACCATATGGATATATGAATGAATTATAATTATTTAAATTTTACAGAAAAGAAAATTGATGCACAGAGAAATTAAACAGTATCCCCACAATCAAATAGCTAAGAAATAATAAATGTAATATGATATCATAATAAAACTCAGGCCGTGAGGATACATGGTTTTCATCACATCGCTTCCCACTCATGGTGACCCATTGTGTGTCAGAGTAGAATTGGGCTCCATAGGGTTTAAAAGGCTCATTTCCCAGAAGTATCTCCTGGTTGTGCTGAAGACTTGGTGTCTGTACAGAAGCTTTTTTTTAATTTATTTTTTATATTGTTGCATTAAGGGCTCATACAACTCGCATCACAATCCATACGTACATCAATTGTGTAAAGCACGTTTGTACATTCATTGCCCTTATCATTCTCAAAACATTTGCTCTCCACCTAAGCCCGTGGCACCAGCTCCTCATTTTTCCTCTCCCTCCCTGCTCCGCCCTCCCTCATGAATCCTTGATAATTTATAAATTATTATTTTGTTATATCTTGCCCTGTCCGACATCTCCCTTCACCCACTTTTCTGTTGTCTGTCCCCCAGGGAGGAGGTTATATGTAGATCCTTGTAATCCGTTCCCCCTTTCCAACCCACCCTCCCTCAACCCTCCCAATATCGCCACTCACACCACTGGTCCTGAAGGGATCACTTGCCCTGGATTCCCTGTGTTTCCAGTTCCTATCTGTACCAGTGTACATCCTCTGGTCTAGCCAGACTTGTAAGGCAGAATTGGGATCATGATAGTGGGGGGTGGGGGTGGGGAGGAAACATTTAGGAACTAGAGGAAAGTTGTATGTTTCATCGTTGCTACATCGCACCCGGACTGGCTCGTCTCCTCCCCAAGACCCTTCTGTAAGGGGATGTCCAGTGGCCTACAAATGGGCTTTGGGTCTTAAAGGATGCCTCGTAGTTCTTTGGACTATGGGGTTAGAAAGAAGCCATAGGAGGGAAGGCATTTTGAACAGAAGGACTCTGTGTTCAGGTGAACGTTGAATGGTGGGTGTGGGAAGTGGAAAGCTGTGTGGGCAGATGGATTACAGATATACAGTCAGGAATGTCAGAGATGAAGACTGAAGGGACAGCCACCTACTCCTGTTATGTTGATTCCAATTCATAGCAATCCTGTAGGGCAGAGTAGAACTGCTCCTTAGGATTTCCAGGACTATAAACCTTTATGGCAGCAGATGGCTGGTTTAAAGCATCAACCTTGCAGTCAACAACCCAACATTGAACCCACTGTGCACCAGGGATCTTGCTGGGGGAAGTCTGAGGAAGAGGTAGACATCGTCTACAAGCATGATGTGAACGAGATCCTACACCACTAGCAGCCTTCTGGTTCATGGATTAGATGGGAATTCCACTTGGAGGTAGGGAGACCAGCTAGAAGGCAGAGACCAAAAGGCCTGAGCAAAACAAATGGCAATAGCAGTGAAAGGGGGAGGCAGGCCTGGGCAATGTTAGGAAGTAAAATAAGTACAGATCCTAAGATGGAAAACATCAGGAATTTGAAACACACCAAAGAAAGAATAATGCTTCCTCTAGAGGACGTACCATTATAGTTTCTGGAACCCTGGGGAGAATAGGCATATTATGGTTGGAATTGTATCCCTTGATTTCACTTTGGGATTTGGAGATTTATACAAACCTCCTGAGCTGCCATCTTAAAGTTTATGATGCTATGAGAACCCCTTAATGGAAAAAAATCACTCTAAAATTCACAGAGCCTTGTTTATATATTTTCATTATGCTTTATTACTGCTAAGAAAGAGAAAGAGAGAACTTCCGTCTAGGAGCGAATTGCTTAATAGCTATTAATGTAAATGCTTTTTGCTATTATTAAGTGTAGATCTGGGTGTTATGAATGTCATCAGCATTTGCAGATTATAATTACTTCTCTTCATCCACCATGGAGACCTATCTGAGGATGTATGATTTGCTGCTGAAGCTCAGGCTGAGCTTTAGGGCTGAGCCATTTGTAAGATCCGTTCAAGCTGTTGAAAATTTTATGAGGAGTCTTTTCTCAAGGAAGCCTAAAGTAGATCCCATGAGGATCATAGTATTTAACTTTAATGGTGATCTGCATGACTCAGGTTTCAGATGACGTGCCCTCTCTTCCCCTTGCTCTGTAAGGCAGCCATTGCTCACTGCTCCAGGTTCATCGGCAGCTGTGGCCATTCCTTGCTTCTCAGCATGTTCACTTTCTCATTCAGTCTTTGCTCATGTCCAGATCAGACCTAGACGTATGTTTGATGATTGATGTCTTGGTTATCTCAGGGCTCTGGTCCCCTTGAGTGAAAATAAAATCCTAGAATGTAAGAGTTATGCTTGGAAAGAGTCTTATCTTCTGTCCCCTTTATCCCCAACCTTCATTCTGGAAATTGACTCTTCTTAGTTCTAGATTTTCTTTCAGGCTTTAAAGCCTGGGTATCCATCTAAGGTCCCATGTTGTGATGGATTCCTCTAGTTTTCAAGATCCATCTGCCTTTTCTTTCCCCAGCTTATGGCTTTCTAGGACTTCTGAAGAGGGGGAAGTGGTCTAAGTGTCTGGAGTTGCCTTCTGATGTTCCTGATGCTTTACCTTAGCTTCTTATGATCACTACTTTCATTTCTCTTCACCTCCCCGCAAAACTTTCATGCTCATACATGTATGCAAGCACATCCATGTAGTACATACACATGTGTGAGCACACACATGCAAGAATATGCACTAACATGTAATGCATGCAAATGTGTTTACATGTGTGCACACTATTATGTATGCACGTGTGTTCATGCACAGTACAATGAGCACATACGTACACCTATGCATGTGAAAATATGCATATGCACATGTGCAATATGCATGTGGACATATACACACATGCACTCTCTCTTGCCTTCCATCCCCTGACACTGACATAATTTTTGCAGTTACAGTGAATCTGGGCACAATACCCACACTGTTGCTCCAGAAGCTGTGCCATCTCCATCCCTAGGCCAGCAGTTGTCTGTATACAACCTATGTGTCTACTTCTCTGTAGAATCTTCTTCCCTAACCCAAATTTGTAGTTCATTTAGTACAGCAGTTCTCAATCTGTGGGTCATGACCCCACAAACGACCCTTTCACAGTGGTTGCCCAATTCATAACAGTAGCAACATTACAGTTATGAAGTAGCAACAAAAATAATTTTATGGTTTGGGGGGGGGAGTCACCACAACATGAGGAACTGTATTAAAGGATCGCGGCATTAGGAAAGTTGAGAACCACTGACTTAGTACCACTCATTAGATATAGGACCATTTTTAGTAGGTCCTAGTCTGATCTAAACTAGTCAATCCACTCATTCAAAAATAAGCAAACAAACAAAAAGAAGCAATGAGTGCTAACCTTGCTACTAGTACAGAAAAAAAAAAAGGGTGAGACTGACTCTTGGTGCCCCTGTGTATTAGAGTAGAACTAAGATCCATAGAGATTTCATTGACTGGATTTTGAAAATAGATCAGACCTTTTTTCTAAGGCACTTCTGAATGCAGTTGAGCCCCTAACCTTTTGGTTAGGAAGCAAGCAATTTAACGGCTCACACCACTCAAGGACTATACCAACCCAGCAAGGAAAATACTTATTAAACTCAGGCTCTGAAAGATTCAGTGACTTCAAAACAAAACAAAAAAAGATTCAGTGACTTGTCTAAATTCGATATTCTTACTCTGCATACTCTACTGTTCTACTGTGGTGATTCATTTGGTCCTAGGTGTAGGGCAGGGAGCGGAGATCATTGGTATTTTATTGAACCCCTTAATGGAAATGCTGGCTAAAAAGAAAGCTTGTTGATGTCACTTAGAGTATCTTTCCCACTCCCATTCCCAACACACAGAATCCAGAACTATCCCATAAATGTTAGTCTCCTTTCCTGTGTTGTTGGACTAGTCTGAAATTTTAGCCCATGCACATTTCCTAAGCCATGTTCAAGGGGAACAAAGGCTCTTAGGTACTTTCTTATGTAGCATGTCTTCTTAGAAAATTATAAGCTCTAACAAGGGTTCAGTATAGTTTCATTATTGCCCAAATTCCCAAATGCAGGAGGTAGCTGCCTATACTTGCTGGTCTACTCCAGAAGCAATGCCAAAAATTTTTTTAAAAAAAATATTTTTGTCCCTGAAATTATAGTTGTTCTTGGGTGTCTTCTCTGTCTCCCATCATCCTGATTTCATCCGTATTAGCCTTTCACATACAGCGACCAACAGTCAGCTATGGGGAGTCTACCTGACCACTCCTCAAAAACCTGAGCTTCTTAGGTGTAGGACTATCTTAACACCCAAGTTAAGCTGGTGCTCATGGTCCATGATTGATGTGGGAGGGTCAGTGAGGTGTGAGGGTAAAGGAAATGAACTATGAACCAGCCCAGAGTTTGGACTTTTACTTGACCTCAGTGACCTATGGTATCCTTGTCCATTCATCTGTAAGATGGGGATCATAATGCATGCCTCAGTAGGTTGCTGTTGGGAGGTTTAAACTCAAAAGTCACTGAAATACTTTGACTATTCAATGCGAGTGTGTACTTTCTCCTTAGCAGAGGTCAACCTTAAATAAATTCAGAACATTCTTTGGAAAAGCAATAAAAAGGTGCATACTTTAACCTCAACCTTAAAATTCGGGTATATATCATCTGGTTTCCACCCTACCTAATAATGGCCATTACATTTTACTGAACATTGAATTTTGCAAGTCATTTTCACAAAGATCCTATTTCACTTAGTTCTAAGAATGTTCCAATGAAATAGGCAGAACAACTATGTAATTATGTTCATTTTACTGGAGCTAAGTTTGCAGTTCAGAGAGAGTTAACTTGATTTCTAAAATTGCACATCAAAAATCAGAACTTAAGTTCTTGCCTCTAATCCAGTGCCTCTCCACCTACCTTGCATCCATTGTACCTGTCCATCTCTCTGCGTGTAACAACGCCCTATGCGTGCTTTAGTTCATTAACTCCTACTCATCTGCTAAGTTACAACTTGGCTGTGACTTCTTAATCAACCCTGGCCCCCTGGCCCATGGGCTCCATAGTATTGCGCAATAGACTTACTCTCTATGTTTGTAGTATATTTCAGGCCTGCATGTCCATTAGAAATATCTGAAAGCTTTTTTTTTTTAAGTAGTACATTTAGTGTCCCACTCAAGACCTACTTCATCAAACATCTCTCTTTGACCTCAGGGGGAAAACCCTGTAAGGATAATAATTGTATATATCAGTTCACCATTCAGTCTTAAAAACTGTCTGGCAATACTTGTATTTATTATTAATAATTACTATTATTAATATAATGATGAGTTGTTATTTTAAGCATTTGTTTATTATTGACTATATGCTATAAATATAAAATAATTTTCCAGCATACATTTCAATTAAATTTGCCTATCATCCTATGAGTAAGGAACTATCATTACTCTACTTAAAAGAGGAGGAAACTGAGGCTTAGAGAGGATATTAGAAACATTTAGAAAATGCATCGATGACTGTGTTCAGCGGGAGTAGTGAAGTTCATGGTTCCTATCTACTTCCATTCCAAAAAGAGAGCCCCCAAGAAGGTGACTGTGAAGAAGTTATTAAAGGACTCTTGGGTATCAGCTTTCAGGTACGTATTAGACGTTGTCTGTAGAAAGTAAAATGATAAAACAAGGCTTTGACAACAAGACCTTGACTCAGAGGTCAGCCCACCTGTCTCCAAGATGCTATTTCCCAGTGCCATGAGAAAAGAGCACGGTTGCATTTCTAAACTACCAAGAACATAATTGACTTGTTCCTGGATAGTATCATAATAATTCCAATTAAAATACATTTGGCTGCAAGTAACAGAATTAAAATGACTTAAACAGTGGGAGTTAATTTTTCTCATGATCCTAACATTGGCTTAGTCATTTATCACCATCATAAAACACTCCAACACTTCTCACCTTTCTGCTTTGCTATCTTCCATGTGTTGGTAATGTTTCTCGGCACTCTCCTGGGATGGTTACAGCAGCTATAAACATCACTTCACCTCACAGCACATCTGAAAGCAGGAAAGGGGGGGGCAGATTCTCTCAGGCCCAAGTGCCTCTCTCCTTTCACGAAGGATAAAAATCTGCCCAGAACTCACCTAGCAGATGTCTTCTTTTTCCTAGAAGTAGGTCCCATGGCCACTGCTAGCTTAACATACATCTAGGAAAGCAAATAATAGGCATGACACTTCCAAATCCCAGGAGATAGGCTTTGCCAGCAAGAAAAAAAGGGGGAAATAAATGGTTGATGTCTTGGTAACCATTGGTGGCAGCCCGACCTGACTTTAATTGTCCAAATCTGATGAGTAATCTAAATTAGATTCTCTTTGAGAATATTTTAAAAACTAATTTTGCCCTAAGAATCTATTGCATTTGAAGGCATTTTTAACAATGTTGAAAGCTGTGAGTTTGGGTGACAAGGACATTTAGCAAGAGTAACACCTTTTTCTTCTGCTCTTTTCAGGTCAACAGCGATCTTGTCTACATCACAGCCAAAAAAGATGGCACACATGTGGTGGAAGCGGTGGATTCCACCCACACAGGGAAATTAATTGTGACCAAACAAGTTGGAGGAGATGGCATACAAGATATTACTGATACTTATAAATTTCAAGAAGGTAATTTACTATACCTGGAGGATGATATTCACCATTACTACAAACTGTACTACAGGATGCACTGGGAGTTGCATGATTTTGTAGTAAGGGCAGAAGTTTAAACCCTGAGGAGTGAAAGATATATCAAATCCACATTTTTTCACTGTGTTTTTGCTAGATTTTGTAGAGCAGAATTTCATTCCTGTACTTGTGAAATTATTTAGTTTTCAGTCACAGCTATTATAACAAGAGAAAAAATATGTTCTTGCACATCAAAATATGAAAAGGCCTTAATTCAAAACAAGCCTATTAGGAAATACTAGATACTACTACCCTGTTTCCCTGAAAATAAGACAGTGTCTTATATTAATTTTTGCTCCCAAAGATGCACTAGGTCTTATTTTCAGGGGATGTCTTATTTTTCCATGAAGAAGAATACGGTACACATTTATTGTTTATTGTTTTATTGCTTTATTAAAAGAGACCTCTCACTTCCTGTCTGCTTTGGCTGCTCAGCGGCCAACAGTGAACTGCGTGGCGGTGCCTGCCGCTACAGTCCAGAGTCCAGAGTTACGGTAGCTTGGGGTGGGGGGGTTATTTTCAGGCGGTCTTATTTTCAGGGGGATGCCTTATATTTCAGCAAGAGGCAAAACTGTAAGTAGGTCTTATTTTCGGGGGATGTCTTACTTTTGGGAAAGAGGGTATAATCTTAGTTCAATACTAGAAATGTAAATCACTACCACCATTTTTCTAGGGCTTCAAAAATTATTTTTACAGGTATTGCTCCATTGAACTCTTATAGAAATCCCATGGGGTAGATAATACAATTTAATATTACAGTGGGAGAAAGGCCAGGTGATCTGCCTTTAAAAATCTGTCAATGAAAACCCCATGGATCACAACAGAACATTGTCCAGTTCACTTTGGCTCTGGGGACCATGCAGGAGCAGGCAGCATTTCTTTTTCTAATGCACCAGATCACCATTCACCAGGGGCAACTCTACTGTAGCTAACAGCAGCAATACAAATACAGTACAATCTCACTAATCCTGAGATGTTAGGTTGAAGACCAATTTCAACCATAAGAGAGTGTTTCAGTGGTTGTGTTAACTCTTATTGTATAGACTCTTTCCAAAGGGATGGATCTGTGCCTACTATTGTGTTTGGTGCAATCACAGTGAGCAGGACACAACTCCTGCCCAGACCAATTAATAGAATCATCGGGCAGAAGGGCATTGAAACACAGTCGAGCCAGAGGCTGCAGAGAAAGCCAAACACAGAGAGAAACACTATGACCTACAGTTGATGAAAGATGGGCTGGGTTTTCCAGGCAGCAAGAGCACAACAGAGGTTCAGGCATAGACCATCCCTGTGTGTAGGGCTCACAGGCATAATTTAAACATCCAACTCATAGGTGCTCTATGGTCTCAGACAAAGCTGCTCATGGTCAGTAGAGGGCTTTACATATCTTGAAGAAAAACATGGATCACATTTTTAAAATAATTCATCAACAGAGGGTTTTGAGAGAGATATTTGTTCTAGTGAATGGATAAAAATGATTAGTGATTAACATACACCTAAATATTCATCAATATTCCTGAAATGGTACCTGGAGCAGAATTTGTTTTAAATAATTCATACAGTCATCCAACTCATTTAAAAAGATAATTTACACTAAAATAATTGAGAGTTCTTTCTTTCTTTCTTACTTTTTCTTAATCATTTTACTGGGGCCTCTTACAGCTCTTATCACAATCCATGCATACATTCATTGTGTCAAGCCCATTTGCACGTTTGTTACCATGATCATTTTTAAAACATTTCCTTTCTACTTGAGCTTTTGATATCAGTTCATTTTCCCCTTTCTCCACCCTCCCTCCCTCATGAACCCTTGATAATTTATAAGTTCTTATTTTTTTCATGTCTTACACCAACTACTGTCTCCCTTCACCCACTTTTCTGTTGTTTGTCCCACTGGGAGGTGGTTATACATTGATCATTGTGATCAGTTCCCTATCTTTCCTATCTTCCCCTTATCCTCCTGGTATCTCTAATCTCATTATTGGTCCTGAGGGGTTTATCTGTCCCGAATTCCCTGTGTTTCGACTCTGTACCAGTGCACATGCTCAGGTCTAGCCGGATTTGTAAGGTAGAATTGGGGTCATGATAGTGGGGGGAGAGTGAAGCATTGAAGAACTAGAGGAAAGTTGTATGTTTTGTCGATGCTATACTGTACCCTAATGTCTCATCTCTTTGTTGTGACCCTTCTGTTAGGGGATGTCCAATGGGCTTTGGGTCTCCACTCCGCTCTCCTCCTCATTTACATTTATATGATTTTTTGTTCTGGGCCTTTGATACCTGATACCTGATCCTGCCAACACCTCATGATCACACAGGCTGGTGGGTTTCTTCCATGTGGGCTTTGTTGCTTCTCGGCTAGATGGCCAATTATTTATCTTCAAGTCTGTAAAACCTCAGATGCTGTATCTGTTGATAGCCAGGCATCATCAGTTTTGTTTACCACATTTGCTTATGCACCCACTTTGTCTTCAGCAATCATGCCAGGGAAAGTGAGCATCACAGAATTCCAGGTTATTAGAACAAAGTGTTTTTGCAATGAGGGAGCACTTGAGTAGAGGCCCAATGTCCATCTGCTACCTTAATACTTAACATATGTACATGGATCTATTTCCCCATAGTTATATATAAATATATTTACATAAGCACATGCCTGTATTTAGACCTCTATAAATGTCCTTTGCCTCCTAGCTCTTTCCTTTATTTCCTTTTACTCTCCTCTTGTCTCACTATCATGTTAGACCTTCATTCAGGTTTCAATAATTCCTCTTGGATACATTGCATTTGATCAACCCTTACCAAGCATCCTACACGCTCCTTACCATTGATTTTAGATCTCTTGTTGTTCCCTTGTCCCTGGGTTTGTTGGCACCCCATGTGTTTCCCCCATCTCCTGTGCCCCCCCCAACCATCTGTTTCATTGTTTTCTCCTCTGCATTGTTTATCCCACCTATCTTATCTAGACAGACATGCAAAAACAATAATAAGCACAAAAGCAAAACAAAACAACAACAAAAATGAAAAGCCTATAAATAGTTCCAGGTCTGTTTGTAGACTTTTATGAGTGTTTTCCAGTTGAGTCTGATGGGGTACCATGCCTGGTCCCAAAGTCTCTTTTTGATATTCCTCTGGGACTTCATTGCTTTGCTCCCCTTGCTGTTCTGTTGCACGCCCTTAGTGTTTTGCCCCAGTGTGGTGGGGTCAGATCAAGCACTGTTCCTGTACTGCCTCTGGTATTGTCCCCCATAGTGCTATGGGTCAGTGAATGATGTTGTGTCTTGTGATGGGGCTGGCCCTATGGTCCTCTCTGTGCATTGGCTGCTCAGAGCAGGAATATCATCCTCTTGGGGTTTGGTCAGCCAAGATGTGTTCCACTCTCTCTCCTTCCCTGTTCGTTTGCTCCTATGTGCTCTGATCAGACGCGACCCTCTCCTTGAGCTGTAGCTTCAGTGCTGTTTTCTGTAGTGCATTCTTCTGGGGGTGGGGGGAGCTGTTCACGTAGCTGGGATTGAAGCCGGCTCTGCAGACCTCTCTATCGGTTTTCTGCTTCACGCTGGTCTGTTGCATTCATGTCTTGGTGCACCAGATTGAAGTCTGGTCCCTCTCTCCCTCAAATTGAGAGTTCTTATGTATAGTATTAAAATACAGGATTTTTGTCATCTGAACTAGTGAATTTTTACCATATTTCTGAAGTGGTTTATTCTTCTCTTCTGTTGCTTATCATCTATGACACAAAACAAATACAAAGGGTGTTGTTTTTCACTCTTTGGCGCTTTTCCCTAAAAACAAAATTAAACAAGTTAAAAAAATAAATAGCATTCTCTCTGAATGGAATTACACACAAAAAATAATAGGAATAGGGGGTGGGGAGAAATTCCATAGAACAAACTAAAAGGTATAGCTGCAGCATTCATTCATTTGCTGGTTCAAAATTTGTTCTTAAGCACTCCTCTGAGACCTGGTGACACAGTGAGTTAGACAATAATTACTGGCCACAAGGTTGATGGTTCAAATCCCCCAGTTGCTCCAAGGGAGAAAGATGAGGCTGTCTGCTCCTATAAAGATTTACAGTCTCAGATGCCCTATACCAGTGGTTCTCGACCTTCCTAATGCCGCAACACTTTAATACAGTTCCTAATGTTGTGGTGACCCCCCCAACCATAAAATTACTTTTTGCTACTTCATAACTGTAACTTTGTTACTGTTATGAATTGGGTGACCCCCGTGAAAAGGCCATTCAACCCCCAAAGGGTTCGCAACCCACAGGTTGAGAACTGCGGCCCTATATAGAGTCACTGTGAATCAGAACTGACTCAACAACTCTTGGATCCCAATCAGAAAAGGCTTGGGGTCCAAGACAGTTTCTCGAGGGTACCAAGACATTTTACTCATGGATTGAACCCATTCCGCAGCAGCACAAAAAAAAAAGTCTAAAAACCTTCTAAATTGTCACAGCCAAGCAAATTGTTCTATTCTACAACATAAGCAGTTGTCATCATGAGTCAGAATTGACTTGGCAGTCTTGAGTTTGTTTTGTCTTTTGTTTGTTTCTTTTTATATTGCCAGAGGGTCCCTGGGTGGTATAAACAATGAAGACCTGCTTCCTAATGGTCATGGCCTTGACAATCCCACGGAGCACAGATCTGCTGTGTGACACACGGCTTCTTCAAGAGTTGAAACCAACTTGGTGGCAGCTGGTTGAGTTATAGTCCAATCAATGCTCCCTGAGTAGGAGTCCCTGGGTAGTTCAAATGGTTCACACACTCAGCAGCTAACCCAAAACTTGGAGGTTTGGAACATCCTGAAGTCTTAGAAGAAGGATGACATACTTAAATAAAAATTTTTTTAATGCTATCAAAGACAGTTCTGTTTGACACATATGGTGTCAACTCAACAGCACCTGATCTTGGTATGGTCCAAGCACTATCTAGGGATGAACAATG